TGTGTGTGTGTGTGTGTGTGTGTGTTTGGGGGGGGGGGGGTGGCTGTCTGGCTGGCTGGCTAGGTGGGTGGGTGGGAGGTGTGTGTGTGTGTGTGGGTGTGTATGTTGCGAGACGCTGTCTAACAAAGACGCTCACGTCATGTTGGGATGCATCTTCGGACGCGAAGATGTGTACCCGCATAGTTTCGAACGAAATGTTCTGACAGCAGATCTCCGACTCCTTCGATAAAGGGAGCGAACCTGTGTGTGTGTGTGTATATGTATATGTGTATGTGTCATTCCCCACCATTCGCCCTCCCTACCATCACACACCATTGCCCACGATACCCACCATATCCACCACTACGCGACATTCCTACCATTTCCACATTACACACTCCCGCCACTACCAGCCATTCTCTACCATTCCCCATCATTGCCCGGTACCCCACAAGAACCCGTAGAATAAAACTAAACACCATATCGGATTAGGATGGGGGGGGGGGGCCGGGGGGCCCGAGGCCCAGAAAAAGAACCGACAGGCCCGGGAAGTTGAAGTTCTGAACGCAAACAGTAGGGCCAGTAGGGTTGCTTTGCCAAGGCCGGCAAAGGGGGTTGCGGGGCAGGAGATTTGGAAAGGCTATGGGGGGGGATTTGATTTGAACAGCGGTTGCGGAGCTGGTCTTGTCTGGGCGCATGCCCCCTGAGCGGGGTCGCGGATAACCAGCCGTGTACGACTGTGGACACCGAAATCACGTTGCAGGTGGCGATGTGCAGCGGGTGCAATCCATAATGGAGGCATTCCGCAACGACGGGAGAATCAGCATCGTGGCACCGCCACAGCTGATGTACACTTTCAGCCCTGCAGATGCAAAACTGCATCCGCTGACGCAGCTGAACGTTACAGAAAGCAACTTATTGTCTATGAGTATACTTTGGAATGTGACAGACATGATCCCGGGGTTCGAAGACAAATGGACAGCCATTGTGGGGGCCTCATTTTGGGCACGGTCCAATCGGCAGGTGTGGCACCAGATCATCCATGCTGCTCCTCGTATTCTTGCGCACATGGAGAAGCTTCAAGGTGAGTGTCTCAGAGATTGCCAACTCGATGGGGTGGAAGTCCTCTTGCCCACAGCTGCTGGCTTCACTGGCTTGGTAAAACCAGCCTCAGAAGTTGTAGATGACCACCCCCCGAATTTCTCCCCCTCGCTGTTCCGCACGCCCCAGAAAAAGCCGCGTCCCTTCGGACGGAACGAATTGACGAGTCTTACTTTGAAAGCAGGATCCGGCATGGTGGCACTAGCGTAGAGACCGTTAGAGTGCTGAGGACTCTTGAGTGCCCGTGTGGAGCTGAGTAGTCGCAGCTGCTTGGGAGAAGGCTCGGAGGGCATGGGGCAATGTCAGCGGTTTTTTGAGGAGTACTTTCCTCCACCCGCGGAGGGCCAGGAGATCACAGCATACTGCCAGGAGCTTAAGGCCCAAGGACATTTGAGCTCGGACGAAGCAAGCATGCTCAAGAGAAGCATTAAGGAGCAGGCTAGGGGGTTACAACAGCAGCGGCGGGAACGCAAACTGGCTAGGCAGGAGCGCCTGTTTCGGGAACCCTAAACCCTAACCATAAACCCTGAGCTATGGAGGATGCAAAGAACACTCCTGAAAGCTAATGCCTTCAAGGCCCATTCCTCGGATCAACTTTTTAGGGTGTAGGGTTAGGTACTCCATCTTTCACCTGAACAGAGTCATCATCGAGTTGTACTTGAAGTTCTGGACCTTCAGGAAATTCACCATGCTCTGGTTGTTGGTGCATCTGGGCATCTCGCACATCTTCAGCAACTTCTTGTTCCCGATCTCTACATGACGAAGAGGAAGCGCTGGAAATCTCAACAAGAGCTTCAACTTTGCCAAGATCATGTAGTTCAGCTGGACTCACACTCATGAGAGTGATGATAGTACGCAGACCTCCTGCTACTGAGATTTCCTCTTTTCCTTCCCAGTACTCAGTGCCGTGTACGAAGTAAGGTGCCATCCAGGCGATGATTTACTGAACTTCTCAATTTCCTCTTTGACATAGACCGCTGCTCGAACATTTAATTCTCCGAAAAACTGCATCTAATCTTCGAACGTTCGCTCTCAATGCCAAGCTGCTCTTCTGCCATTCCAGAGATACCTTTGACGAGCCTTCCACGAGATCAAAGTGTTCTTGACCATCTCTTCTTTGTGCACAGAAGGGGATGAGATACTTCGGCCATAACATAGTCATGGAATTGGAATGTCTTTCCATCTTTGGATTGAATCTTCAAATAGAACATCTCTTTTCTAGTCCTCCTGCAATGCTGTTTCCTCACCTCTCAGAAGGAATTTCGTGCTTCACTCCCAGGCTTCTGATCTCTGTATTCCGAGATGGGATGGGAAGTAGTGTACCCTTTCAGGGGATTCTACCCGGTTCTACCCTGTATCCCCTTATACCCTTTAAAGGCCCCAGACCCCATCGCATGCAGAGAAAAAGAAGCCACGATGCGGGTGGAAGTTTGTGCGGCGGAGGGACTTGCAAAACACTGCCTTCTCAGTTTTCTCATTGTGTACGGTTACGTTCTGAAGGCAAGGTCCGGTGCGGCATCTTGACTCAGCTGCCATTTGATTCAAAGCATCTTTTGTGTTCACCTCAAGATTGTTGGTTTCGAGCTTGCGCCGGAGGCCGAGACATCTGGGGGAGAAGGATTGGTTGAAAGGTTTCCTTTCCTCGCCCTGGCCAAGGTGCCCATCATGACTGCTGGCATTCAAGAGCTTCTCAAGCAGGCGATGTAAAGGGAGGAGGGCGGGGGAGGAGGGTTACTAGGAAACCTCTATTGTTTCAATGTTTCAAAGGTCACGATTTCGATAGGAGAAATCTCAATCTTCTTTAATCTTCTTTCTGCCTTAATAGGAAAGCCCTTGTTTTCTCCATTGGAGACCATAAAGGTTTCCTAAAAACCACTGCGAAATACGAGGATTGCCTCTTAAAATGTGGAGAAAAGCGAGGTTTCCAAGTAAAATACTGAGAAAAGAGGCATTCCTAGACAGAATATGGAGAAAATAGAGGCTTTCCTATAAAAAGATACAGCTCAAGTAGAGGTTTTCTTAGCAACCCCTCAGACTAGATTCCGGACACACTTGCAGATGTTCCTGGTTGGCGTATGTAGGGCTGTGGTTCGAGTATCGTTGGGGCGGCTCGAGTCCAACAGCCCCACAAGGAGTTGGGCCACTTTCGTGAAGAGCTCTTGCAAGAGCTTCGAGGCATCTACTGCGCCGGGAATTCATGACTCATGACATATCAGGGTAGGTTGCCACATAGGTTGCCACGTGATTACATGCAGGCTTTGCTTGTAAGGCGACGTTTTGGCTTGGGCTCTGGGGACCCCGAAGCCCCGATGTCCAGGAGAGTGGCCTTGAACGCCAGCTGCACCATCAACCCAAAAGCTATGACCATGGCAAGCTCGACCACTGTTAGAAGGGCTTGCAGACAGAAGAGGTTGGTCGCGGGTTCCCCGAACAGCCCCGATGCAGCCCTGCTTTTGCGCACGTTTACTTTGTGCGCAAGTATCCCTTAAACAACCCCAAGCGAAAAGGGGCCATGCAGTTTTAATCATCCCTTCATGTTGAATGAAGACTATCATTGGCTGTGTTGCATCATGCAGGAATCGGGGCTTGTGATGAGTTTGGAGAATGTAGGGAATTGTCAACATCTTGGACAATCATCTTGACAACATGCTACCGCATGCTGTATGGTTTTGCGATTCAGTTGGCAAGGCACAGCATGCTTAGTTAGGCAGTTCGGAGCTGGCGGGCCTGTGCGGGCGGGGGTGCGCGAAAAGCTGCTAGAGGCTTGCTGGAGAAGCCACCTGCTGGCTCTGGCCTCCAGAAGGCGTTTTTTGCGGGAGAACGACAGCTGTTGCGATGCTACTTGCGTTTGTCGCCACTGGCGCTTTCACGTATTCACATCCCCGCTTCTTTGGAGGCTCAAGTGGACCACGCGATCCATGCATACCAACTCTAATGGACCTGCAACAACGAAGAACAATTACTGCTTGCGACATGCGCAGAGTACACAATTTGGGCACAAATATAGCACTTCTGGCCTCTGATATCCATGGCGTTGACGTCTGGTCACAGCGAGAAGAGGCTCGGAGACAATCGCAGCGTGGCACCTTTCGCAGCCGAGGCCTCAGCGCTGGAAGTTCTGGCTTGGAGTCTTTGATGTCGTGTCTGCTGGACGCTGCATGGCTGAGGCTGTTCACTGGCGCTTGTGAGCGCACAAGCGATCACGAGAAGGCGGACCATCGGCATTTGGGTGGCCCGGAGGGCGGACGATGGATGTGCGCTCCCACATTCCAGCACCACGAATCCAGGCATCGCAAGGACCAAGAGTCTTGATCGTTCCGATGCCTGGATACGTGGTGCTGGAGTGACATGGCGCGCTGAGAATTTCCAGCAAGCAGCGTTGAAAGATGCTTTGGCTGCCAAAGCAGATGGCCAGAAAGCATTGACATTTCTCACGGTCAATTTGGGCGACCTTGACGTCTGCGGGAGTGATGACGAGGACAGTCTGCATGAGGACCGACATCGTTTCCTTGAGAAGCTGCTTCGAATGCCAATGTTGGGCCAAGTTGCGGAAGCAGCACTGCGGGTGTTGTATAAAAAGAACGGGGCAGGGGTGCCTGGTCCTCCCACCAAACGTCTCACACTGACTTGAGAAATGGCGCAGGCGGCTGCAAGAATACGGCACGGAGGGGTATCGTCGGTATCGTGTGCGCCCTTAAGAGCTTCGGATTCGCTGTCTTGACGCAGGTGCTGTGTCCATGTCAAGAAGGCGGGGCGGCTGCGTCTAACGCCGCTGTGCGTTAGACGTCCCGCCTGCCGAGTAGTCCATTTCAGTAGAGTGCGTACACCTTGTTTTGAGCATCGGATTTAGCTCCTGCTGCAGCCCGCTTCTCTATCTCCCTCTCATGACGACCCTGTGTTGTGGCATGCTCAGTGCTTGGTCTGAGCAGGCGGCTGATGCGAGACTCAGAGATGTCACCCGTGGCAGCCGGGCGCCCAGTCTTTCCGTTCCGTGCCCCGACATGCCATCACCTTCCCTGAGCAGGCCCCACGCTCCTCGAATCCCGCAAGGACTTTTGGAAACAAAGACCCGTCATGGGAATTGTCAAAATTTATCTGGCGCAGGAGAAAGGATTCCCGGAGGCGAAGCCGCACAAGGCCTTCGAAAAATGGCGTGTTTTTCTCAACCCCTCTGCAACCGCAGTGCTCTGCATGTACTTGTTTTGGACTCTTCGAACATGCAGATCAACAGCTTGGCGGTAAACCCTCGCTACGGTGCTACAGCTGTCAACCTTCGAAGAACTCTTTCCAGGGCTTTTCGGCTTCGATGTTTGAAGTGTTGAGAGGCTCTCGAAGGCCCAAACTTGCTGCAGTCCACGCGTCTTGTAGAGCTAAGGTTTAAAGATGTTTAGGGTCTTGAGCTAAACCTCCTCGACAGAACACGGTTTTATTAACACTCGTGGCTGAAAGCTCGACCTACGAAGATCGCAATCCTCCATTGTCTCAACCCAAACCTATCAGAACCGTTCCCAGGGAAAACCTTCAGCCATTTTGCCTTCGAGGCACCAGCCGAGTCGTCCTTGATGGGCCACGCCATGCAACAGGCGGGCTTTGTGAAGCTATTCGGGAGGTTTGCTCCTTTCCGGTGCTCCTGGCTGCAGCACTTAGGAGTTCTAAGCTCCGTGTAACAAGCGTTACAATCCCGGAGTCATATGCACTCTGCAAATTGAGTCTCCAGATCTCCGACATCTCTGCAAGTGCTCTGCCCATTGCCCACTCTCCACAGCTTTGCCCCAGACCGCTCTAATCCATCCTGCGGGCTTTTGAGGGTTTGTTTTCGCGCCTTTTGTTCGCCCTTTCGGGCTTTCAGGGAAGGCTGGAGTCGCGGGAATGGGGCGGCTTGGGTTAGGGCTTCACGGGCTCAAGGGCTTTACCTATAGGTTCTGAAGGCTGATTTTTTTCAGCCTTACGGTTTTGACGCAGAATTACGGCCGCCTGGTTTTTACGGGTTCGGATGGGTGCCACAATCTGAATATTTACGCTTTTTTTTCGGGCGTGTATCTTGGAGGCAAACAGCACATATTTATGCGTTACATGGGGATGCTATGGGCGATGCTTCCATTCTTGCATATGGTGCTTCACTCTTTCATTTTGCTGCGCCTTGTGCCAGCACCTCAGTGGCCTTCCATGGCCAGCCAAGCAGCTATCTTCCAGCGACCTATGGTCCGCTCCATTTGCTTGACACTCCCTACTCTACGCGAACTGCGGGAAACTTGTCCTACCAGATCTTCGTCTAGCTGAACGGAAAAAGTTAGTGGGTTGACGGTCCAAGTTCTCTTGGCCGCCGATTCAAGCATGCCCAACATTGGGTGGTGCGTAAAATGCACCTTCGGAACCATTGCGAAACGAATCCTGGATTGCTGCAGCGTGTAATGGGCAAGTCTCGCGTATGAATGCAAGAACTGCATTCCATGATTGCCAGCCGTGCTGGCCTCTGTTTTCGTCAACCAAACACCTGACCTGTACAGGAGAGAAAAGCAGCGGTTGATCTCCTTTGTTGCTCGCACCATCTCATCTGTGATAGCCGACGGCACGAATTTGTCAGAGGCGAGGAAGCTTTCAAGCCAGGCTAAAAACACCCTCGTGTCAGCAAACTTGTTCCAAGCTCCTGTCGGACAGGTCATGTTTGAACCCAACCCAAAGGTATCTTTGTCAAACTTGCTGTAGTGAAGGCGAAGACCAGCAGGAGAGCGTGACCACGCGCAGTAATGCTCGTGTAGAGCCTCCAGGTTCTCATCTACTTTGCCTTGCTCGCGCAAGGCAGGCAAAAGCTCAGCCACACAGCTTGCAACAAACAACTTTCCCATTCCACCATGGAAATTGTGCCAAATGTCCTCAGCAAAGCAATTCCTGTTGAAAGAAAAGAAGCTGACTAAGGGAACACGCGCACCTCGCCTCAAGAAGCACATCTTTCAGTTGAGAGTCGTACTGCAGCATCTCTGGGCGAAGATCTTGTAGCGCAGTCAAGAAAGGAGGGTCGCGCTTCCACGGCAGCGGTGCCCAGCTTTCGGTCTCGCGCCATTTGGGTTTGAAGCTGAGGTCTTCGAAAGGAATCTCGGTTGTACCATCACTGCTGCCCGCCATGCACTCAAAGCATATGCCAGCCTTCGCCCGCGCCCCTGTGGTCTTGGACACCCTGGCGTAATTTCTTTCCAGGCAGCCTGCCTTTGAAAGATACGGCGCGTCTCCAGTCAAGCCAACGCAACATGCATACCAAGTCTGTCCATTGTATTCGAAGCCCTCGTGCGCAAGCTTCCAGTACGCATGGCCGATGCGACTGGCCAATGCATGCCAGACATTCTCATTGTGCTTGTAAAGCTTACATGGAACCGCGATGTGCAAAAACCGACTCGTCAGTGAGTTGCCTACATTGAGACCCATTTTTTGCCGCTGCGTTGCCTCCGGGAGATCTCGAAAAAACCTGGTTCCAATGCCACAAATACCTTTCATCGACCATATCAGAATTCCCTTTTTCTTCTTCGTCCTCCCTTCATCTCCATGGGAAAGAAAAGGGATCACCCGCGAAAGGGGTAGATCTTGACTGAAGATCGGGTGATGGCTTTGCACCAGGGCGAACCTCCTCCAAAACTCAAGTAGGTCTACCTTGCCATGGAGGAGATCTAGCTTTTCCTCGGCAGCCAGCCATTGAACCATCTTGTAAGGGTCCAGCCACGGAACCTCGACCCCAGCAGCATCGATGAACTCGGTGGGCACACCCACTGAGTTCTTGTGTTTGTCAAGCCTGTGTTTGTTGAATATGGAAGTGAACAAATGTGAAATTGATAGAAACACACCCCAAAAGTTAGAAAAAATACAAGCAAGTAAACGGGTCGCTCTTCAACAGCAATGCGTTCAGCTGCATTGGCGGCGCCGCGAGCGATACGGGATAGAATGGAGCCTTTCGAAGAGGACACGCTGCCTTCGGCGCGTCGTCCCCGTGCATCTCTGTGCAAAGTGGCACCAGAAGCCTCAGTTCATCACGATCACATTGCACGGGGTGGGGCCTGCATAGGGACGGGTAAAAAACATCGTCTTAGATTGTGGCACTCTACAGCTAAGGCTGGGCAAACTGTTGGGGAAGCTAAGGATGGGCAAACTGTTCGGGATTTGGCTTGGGTTTTGTTAAGGGTTTATCTGTATAGTTGTTGGAGTTGGGTAGGGTTTATATAGGCTTTATGCGGGTTCAGGGTTTTAGGGTATATGATAGGCTTTAACCAGGTTTATAGAGTTTCTTCTTGAGGCCTAGGCTTGGGTGCTTCGGGTGTGTGTTTCGGCTTCCCTGCAGAACGTCAGCAAAGCCTGAAAACAGATCAGCGTACATACGTGTTCACTCTGTTGAAACCCGAAGCCAGCAAGGCCTGACCGACGAGGGCGCTCCTAAACATAGAAATCACCCTGAGTCATCCCTACAACCTTGTGTGATCATCCCCATCGAACGCATCTGCTCTTCCATGCCGCGTGGCCCCTTTGGCCAATGCTCGGGCGACACTGAGCCGCTCGGAGAAACCTGGCTGATTCTCTTGTAAGGGCATTCAGGGTTTGAAGGGTTTTGAAGGAGAGAAACTGAGAGCGGCTAGGCTCAAGTTGCTGGCTCAACGTGTGGCAAAGCAATTCGTGAGCAATGCTGTTTTCTTGCTCCTTCGGCACATGCGCCCCTCGCACTGAGATCTGAAAGTCTCACCTAATTGCGCGCGATGCAGCTATGCAAGATGCCACGTACGCATTCGCACGCCTAAGCACCTGCCGATGCTGCTCGCTGGACTCATCTACTATCTACTTCTTCTTTGCCTTTGTCGGCTTCGTAGCGGCAGGCTTCGGAACAGAGGGAGGCTTCCTCCGGCTGGCACGGACAATAGCACTCAGAGTGGGCCTTAAGTACCGAGCTCAAACATGCAACGACAAAAGGCTCCAAGGAATGCATCAATCGCTCAGCCCTGAGCTGGATTGTTGCCTCCGAGGCTGTTGCTTTGCCAACCCTGCAACGGAGTGATTTCATTGCCACGGCAGCAACAGCAAACGACGGGGGGGAACCCTAAACCCTATAAACCCTATATACCCATACACACCCTACACGACACAGAGACAGAGACAGGGACGAAGAGCGAGAACAAAAATAAAAAATCATATATAGTATATGTATATATATATATATGATACACATATATCGCTATAGTATCTTCAAGAGTTCCAAGGTATCATAGCCTCCCATAAACCCTATCTAAACCTTATCAACTTATCAACCCTAAAGACCCCATAAACCGTATCTCAACCCTACATAAGCCCTACAAAGAATTCTTTAATATAATATATATTTACATATGTATATATATATGTACATATGTGTATATAGAAAGGGTTTCAGGAAAGCCAGGGCACTGAAGTTTGGCTTGCTTCAGCTGGGCCATGATCCGTGGCCTCAGTTTGGTGTTGGCTGGTACGTTTTGCGGCAACCCTAAACCCTAAACCCTTTATAAACCCGATAAACCCCATCAGCCCTATAAACCTTATAAACCTTATATATGCCAACCCTACAAACCCTAAACCTAAACATCCTAAACCCTATATAAACCCTAAACCCGTAACTAGCTTCATCCGAACCGGTTTAGCACGAACCGACAGCTATCATAGCAAGTAGCTTAGCAGTCTCAACTTCAGACTCCTCGTGGGATTGCACGTAAGCGAACAACTCCGAGAGAGCATCGTAGATCTTCTCCAAGTGTGTGGCGTGGCTGTCCAGCTCATTCCCATACCTAGTCTGAGCTGCGTGGCCCCCGAAAAAAAGCTGTTCCCCTTAGGACGGTCGAAAATCGCTAGCAAGCAGCTGCTGACACTTCGGTTCACCCGCTTGCCCTTTCAACTTGTCCGCATTCTCTCTCAGCTTCCCCACCCTCGATAGGATGTCCGACATTGCCTTCTCCAGCTGCGTCCCGACATCCTGCAAAGTTCGTGTTTATTTGTTTTCTCAAGTTACAAGCAGCATGCACCTAGCACGCTCCTCATCCTGGAGAAGCTTGGCGGGCTCCACGCCACTCGGAAACTCCAGTTCAGGAATGAACTGCTTGCACTCTTCAGGAAGTTCACCTTCCCCCGTCATCTGCTTGGACTCGCCCTGCTTCGTCAGCTTCGAGTTCGTTTCGGTATCTTCCCGATCGACCCAATGCTGCACCTTCTTGTCGTTGTACTTGTACTTGCGCCGCAAATGTGGGCGAGATTTGGTATACTGCACCACATCTTTGATGTCTTCCCTACATGTTGCACAGACTCACTACTACAGTGTGCATTTCTACATTCAAAACCGAGTGGGGTTCGAAACAAACTGAGACTAGCACGCGCTCATGTTCAGCTGCGTTTCCATTGCCGTCTCCGTGTACCAACCCCCCTTCTGCTCCGTGAGCTTTGTTTTCTCTTCGATGATCCAGCGTGTGACTGCTTTCTGGAACGGAGCCCTGAAAGGAGTGCATCACATGGACATTTACAAGAAAAAGTAGCAGCATAAGCGGCCTTTGGAAGTTGTTCTTGATCAGGAGGTCCATCAGCACACCGCGATTTTCTGTGTTTTGGTACAGCCGAACGGCGTCTGCGCCGCCAGCTGCCTTGCGCTTGTTGCCGTCGGTGCATTTGCGACGAAGGCGCTGCTCCAAGGCAGCCTCCGAAAGGACCTGGCTGGGCAGACATATAGAGCCACACACACACACACACACACAAACACACAGAGTCGTAGGAGCACACCGCGCAACACGTGAGAAGACAACATTTCAGACATGTCACAAGCCCAGTTTCCGGGTCAAGAATTTTGCCATACTTGCCCGAGTGAAGAACTTCCAGCGCCAACCCTTCCCTCCCGGGAGCATCCTCATCGCTGTCTGAGCCCGCTCGGCTTTCGGTGGGTCTGGCAAGCAGGGGCCGGGCCACCGGGCGTTGGAGGGGAACCGAAGACTTGGCAGGCGAAGGAGCATGAGTGGACGGGGTCGACGGGAGTGGGTTCGACCGTAGCAGCCCTTCGCGGGGAGCACTGGTGGGCTTTGGGCGGCAAGTCGAAGAGAGAGGTGTTGCCGGGGCTGAGGAGGGCGCGGGGGTGTTGCCCGATAGGGCCTGCTTGTTCTCCTCGTCTTTAACACTTGCCTCACGCTTGGCCCTCTTAAGGCTTCTCTGTTCGATCTCAGCAAGCTCAACCAAAAGTTCTTCCCGCCGCTTTCGCAAAACATTCTCAGCATCATCTCCATCACGATCATTGGCCTGCGCGGGCATGTGTGATGATTAGAAAGCCCTATAGAGCTCTGTGAGTGCCCTCTCAAAAAAGCGGGAAGACAGACCCAAAACCTGTAAACCCTATACAAACCCTATATATTCCCTGACAAACCCTATATGCCCTTTAAACGTAAGATTGGAACCCCCCTCCCCTCACCCTCCCCGCCCCTCCCTTCCCCCCTCGGTTTCGTTGCGAGAAAGCATTCTAGATTCAGGGGAGTTTTGGGGGAAGTTTTAGGGTAGGTGTGGTCGCTACCCTTGTTTGAAGGAATTTAAAGGGATCCGAAGCGTGGGCCCTTATTATGTGTAATGTGTATAAGGGTTGTAGAACAGGGGACCCAATCAAAGGCCCATACTTCGGATCCCCTAACAGACCCTAAACCCTATAAGCCCGGTCCCTACCTCGAACTCCTGAGATTGTACCCTTGGGCTTCCCCTTATAAAAGGTCCTGTAAGTGAATATAACGGCCATATTAGGAGTATATTAAGGGGAACGGGTACAAACTTATATAGGGGTACGAGAGAACCCCTCAAAGGTACTCTTCACCAACTTGCGGCGCTGCCTCTGGCGCAGGCGAGGCAACTCGTTGGGTTTCGGGGAATTCATCCGTGGAACCCGAAGTCTTCAGAGAGCTGGAAGGGCTTGTGTAGCTAGTGTCCTTAGCGGACACCAGTAGCTAAATCTGTATAGTGCTTCAGGAACCTGAACCTGGGTAGCTGTGCGTCAAGACTCCAGAGCATCCTCATCGCTCATCTCCATTCGAGCACGCTGAGCCTCGAGGTCCTGCCACGATTGCCAGACACATAACAGGCTTATTGAGAAGTATACGTCGCAGGCTAGCTTGGTAGATACAGGCGAAACAATAGGGGCTCCTTCAACGTACTCTTGAGATGTTCTTCAGCAATATCATCATTCAGCTCCTCCTTTACTCGCTGCAAATGGCTCTTGCCAGCATCCATCTCTGAACAACTCCACAACCTGCTGGGCAATGATATCTCCATGTGGTGGAGAGAACTGAGCCCCAAACTGCCTCAGGAAGCGACAGACAGGGTGCCAAATCAGCGACGGACAGGGTGCCGCAGCTGCATCTGAAAAAACTGGCCTCCTACGCTTTTTTATCACGTTAGGATAC